GACGAGTTTCAACGACTTTGTAGAGGCTGCACAATCTCAAGAGACTCCCATGTAGGTAGTTCAAACAACTTGTCATAACCCAGACGACAGTGAAATGTAGTTTCGGATAATTTTGGCTTGATTAATCATCTCTTTGAGCAGTGGGAGCAAGTTAAATCTCGTCCAAACACCCCTTACATACCAACACCGTCACGGTGATCTCGTACAACCTCCACTTACTCTACTTTTAAAAAACTTGAAGTAGGTTGATTTTCTCGCTTTCGTCGCCACCGATGTATTTCTCTACATCAACATTCAACTTTTCTACCTAAGAAGGGTACCTCAAAATTATCGTGAACTGTGCCTTTAAATCGGTTAGTCCCCCTTCGTACCTGGATCAAGATTCCACTATGATTTGTGAATTTGTTTACTACCTGGATGACTTTAGGGTGTCTCTGCGCATATGGGTGGGGATAACATGAAGTGGTCTCTGACGAGGAATGGGTAGTGAGGAGATGGTAATAAGGAAGTTTTCGAGGAAGTAGGATTGACAAGATGTCAGCGAAGCTGAAAATCAACTAATTCCTAAACCAGGAAGTAAACAATCGGTTACCGTAGCCCTACCGGTTGATCGAATTAGAAAATGCACCACTTGAGTGAGCAGGTTGCTTTTTGTTTGCTGTTTTGACTATTTTTTTGTGCCCATCATGCAGTGCTGAAGAATATTCAAGGAAATTCGGGCAAGATTTCCAACAAAGTTTTCGATATGGATGATGGTACTGGCTCTTATCTTCCGAGGACTTCATACAATTAAGAAAGAGAATAATGAGCCAAAAAGTTGGAGCTCTCTATCGTCATTTTTGCAAGACTTATACTTTCACCAAATACAGCCGGGAAGTAGGTTAGTCAGAGCTTCTTAGGTCTAACCGTTCATGCACAAGAGGGAATTAAAACTGTAAAAACTGCTCGAAACTGTCAAGAAATCGTTAAAAAATTTAATCAGCATCAGAATCAAGGAGGACTTACGCGCCAATAATCAATCTAAACCAGACTTTAGCTGAACCGAACCCACTGATCTTGGATCAACTTTGCAGTGATGGTGAAGCAAGCAAATTTTGTTGACAGCCATGACATAAAAATATTGTGCCAGGGTGAAATACAGTTTATCGCAACATTTACATCCGAAGCCCTCCCCACCCCCTCCCACAGACAGTGACGTGAGGAAACGAAAGTAAAAAGAGCCCGAATTGCTTCCTATGTAAAGTTGAACTGTTAATGTAAGTATAATTTATCGGTAAGTATAACTTAAGCGTAATTTCGATATACATAAGATCTGTAAATATTAAGCTGTTTATCCGAATTACATCTCTCTAAGCTTCCTAGTTATCATATTCAGACATGGCCTCTACATGAAACATAGGTTAGCAGAAATGGGGTAGTGCACAGTAGAGCGTCACTGCACGCATGACCAGGGTATTCAATCCTGGATGCATTTCCGCCTAGTCCAGCCATGTTTCTACCCATTCAGAAAATGATATTAAACTGGGAGGATAAAAGCAATGACAACGTCGGCTGGTCCCTGGAAGTCAATGTGTAGGCCAGTTACTGATTCAAAGGTCAGTTACAAAATCGTTGTTTAGAAATTTGACACCCACTGAATAGTTGCTATAGTAAATAGGCCGTGGGGTCAAGGTTCCTGACGTTCTGAACAATAACCTAGCAACCAGTGGAGAGGATTCTGGAAGAGTCGCTTTAGAACTCTTCAATTTCACCTCTCAAAGGGGCGAATATAAAGCGCAGCGATAATCTTGATAGGTTCTTCAGCGTTCTCTCCTATCGACTATTATTTTATACTTACTGTTGTGTATGATATTTACTAAATCATATTATATTATATTTATCACATAAAGAAGTTATGGAGGAATCGAATAAAGACGGTGTCATGGACCACAAACGGTCTAGGACACCTTGAATGTACGTCCACCAAAACAAAACGCTTCATCCTAAACTAGACCAACTGTCATACAATGGGAGATTCATTTGATTTACTCGATTTCCGTTATCGAAAAACTGTCAGTGATCTAATTGACAATCAAAGAGTGTGTGTATGTGTATGTGTATGTGTATGTGTATGTGTATGTAAATGCGTGGGTGCCGTGGGTGTAGAAGAGGGGACCCTGATGGAGGCGACAAAGTAGGAACGTCAGCAGATCAGATCTGCACCATCTTACTATTAGTCATAGCTTCAAAGGATTATTTAGATTGATTCTATTACTACAGAAGTACAGAAAAACACGTACACTGAGCTCTCCGAGGGCAAAAATTAGTTTCGCTTCTGCTGCTTTGACGGCTTCGGCCTCGGTAGCCATGGCCCTGCACAGATCTGTTGGAAGGCGAACATCCTTGATTACAAATCGTTCAACACTAATTCCCCAGATGGACGTAGCTAAAAGTTTGAGATTCACATAGGAACAAAGAAATGAGAAAAAAATATCCATGCTTTCACGAAAAAAAAATGTAAAGAGAGAGAGAGAAAAAAAGAAGTGGGGAAGACTTCAAAAAAACACCAGCAATAGAAAAAAATAAAAGGAAATAAAATAAAAAATACTTGAACTTTTACTTGTATAGTTTTACCTCTATCAAGAATGTACTCCATGTGTTCAGCTATTTCATTCCGATCTGACATAATTTGGGCCAATGTCCTTGTGCCAAGCGTGTTCCGTAGAGTGGCTTGAGCTAATTGCCTCGTTGAATAGTGAGCGTCATGCACTTCCGAAAGGTAAGCGATGGGATCCCTCAAGAAAACTTCATATTATTTGGAAACATTGAAAAATATTTCGACTAATGAATAATAATAATAATAATAATAATAATAATAATAATAATAATAAAATAATAATAATAACAGTGAAAGATACTTAAGCAATCAATAGAATACGGTGGTCAACATACCTAGCTTTGTAGTACACAGCTGCATCGACAGCCACCGTAACACAGTCTAATGTTAACAGCTCTTGAGTCGGCACGTCATATATCATTGTTCTTAAAAACATCAAAAGTCAAAAACCTTAATAACATTTAAATTTGAAAAAATACAATTTCGAAAAATTTGTTTCTTTGTCTTCTTATAGACGAGTTATCACACTTCTTGTATTATGGTGCTGGCGGTCACCATAAACATGAAATGCCTTAAAGGCACAGTTCACGATAATTTTGAGGTAGCCTTTTTTATTCGAAAAGCGGAAGTATAGATTGGAAATAGTTTATTGGTAGTGAAGAAAGCGAGAGAATTCGCCGATTTGGAGAATAATATGGCTTTTCAAAACTACGGAAAATAGAGGTTGGACGAGATTGCCATGACGGAAATAACATGGAAGGGGTATTCGGACGAGATTTCAGATATTGAATTCTCGCAAAGAGCTGACTACATCAAGTCGGAACTGTACAGAACTGTCTCTCATTGTCGCTATGGGTCATGACAAGGATACACACGGGCCAATTTTTGAGCCTTTATAACTCCCTAACTTAGCCGTTTTCCGATCTGATAGTGCCAGATATGTTATAAGCGGTGGCTTCAAATTAGTCCTATGGGGAAATCTCAGGAACCTTTTTTATCGTGAACCGTGCCTTCAAATAATCTAGCCACTGCTGAACGTGCCGCTACGAGCTGGAAGCCTAGTGTATAAAGATGTCAAGAGCTGGGAAGCACTATTGGTCAAATCGAAGTAGATCGAATTTCGGATCGATAAGTGCCTATTCCATTGAAGCCTCTCATTCTTGGGTCTGACTAATTCGAACTAAACTCGTCCGGAAGGATGAAAGCTCTGAGCGCTACATCGTCTGGCCACAGCGAGTCATTGTATAGGAACCATAGATACTCAAAACGCTACTACGATTCTGTATGGAAGTTGAATGAGGGGGCCATCCCAGGCACGAATTGATTTATGCCAAAAGACTGCTTGTCTTCATTCGTAGTTCGGTAGTAGGAGGGCTCACTTACCGTAAGTCAATAATTTCGTGCTCATCAATGAATGGAAACACAAACACCACTCCCGGACCACATGCACGAGACTTCCAGATCTTGCCGAGACGGAAAATAACCTACAATGATTCAAAATAACTAAATGCTCAGCAATGCTGGCAAATATTATAAGAATGATGCACATTTATTAATGGCAGCTGAGGTGATTGACGTTGAACCTTCTCTGGGAGGAGACATTTACCAGAATTCCCTTGAGAAACCTTATGAACAAGTTGAACTAAACGGGTTTTTCTCTGTAAAGTGGTTCAAGAAGTTAGTCATTTCAATCCCCTGGCCTAGCTCCTACATAGAACGAGCCTCGTTCACGTTCTTTACTACTTTGGATCCCGGGTGGAAGTCTGCTGGATATGCGCAAGATTCCATGGAACACATCTTCTGGATGGGGCGTCTCATCCGACTGGTCCCTGAGCCATTTCAGGTCATTTCACTTTTACTTTTGTTTTCATTTTACTAAACACTGAAGTAATTTAACTCTCTAATTCTGCTCCTAGCGATTTATAAATTTCCAGTGAGATGAATTTTTTTACTTTTCCTTTACATTTTTGGTACCTATGGTTTTCCTTCAGCTAAATGGAGTTTAAGATGGCCGTGGAGTTTTTCTACGTTTCGGAGTAGATTCATTCCTGAACAGCCGAAACTCATATTTTTCCACCGTCTGTCACATGCTTTATTTTTATGTTCTTTCGGACCCCACACTTAGTCCCAGTGTGAAACGAATAAATGGAGATATGTTATACTGCTATGTGCCATTCCAAAATGCCCTTGTATAGAACTGAATTACCTTGTGTAGCAAGTGCTTGCATATTTCGATGCTAGGTTGCAGGGCTCTTCCCTCTTCTGGTCATCAAAATTTCATGCCCAGGTTTCAGGATGACCGAACACTGAATTCGCCCTGTCAATTTTTCAATATTGGGCGGGGGTGGGACAGCAGCAACTGGAATTCTTGCTAGAAACACGGTCAAAGATCGGTTTTTCTGCTGGTCAACCTAAGCCTTTGAGATTGGTTAATTGGTATCAGACCTGCCAAAGGAAGCCAGTCAACTCGGCGCCATAGAACATAAAGCTACACCGGGTCACAGATCGGGCCGAACAGAGAGTTTGGTAACAATCCGATGGGTTCTACCTGAGGTCTGAGATAAGGTCCAGGAAAAATGAAGACGGGATCTGCCAGAGCAAAGGTCTCACTATAAAAGTAGTAGTAAGCTCTTCTTGGGAGAGGGAACGGGTGAGGCCCTCTCAAGGTGTTTTGATACAGCTCCCGAATCAGAAGCAGTGTAAGGATCTGGGTGTTTCGTTCCAGGAGGAAAAAAAGAAAGGAAACTTCATCAAAGCTTCCTTACCATTCTTTTGTACTCGCTGACGATTTTGACGCAGAAGAACAATGAAATTGGAAATGTCAATAACAGTAGAGCCCAACAGAGACCAACAACGGCTCGATCAGCTATTGAAGGTGGTGGATGTATTCTACTGTATGTCCCCAACGAGTTGATCTTGTTCTTCATTACTTGTCTACACAATATATCCTGTAAAGATTACAAGTAATCCATAGTATGTAGAATTAAAGCAAAGTACCAGATGAAAGGTAAAATTGCTTTCTCTGCATAACTGAGCCGATTTTAGAGATTTCTAGGATATAAATTGGTGCATTTGTAAATGACTGTAAAGGTTCTGTAATTAATGCAACTAAATATATGCAAATAGTGAGAATCAACAGATGAACACAACCGTCTTCAAAAGACTGTATTGTGGGTGTATGACAAAGTGACTAGACATGGTAAGCGTGAACACTGACGACATGACGCGAACTTTGACTTGCCGCGCAGCTGCGCCGCTCGTCGCCTGCAAAACTTTCGCCCCCTCCCCAC